CCCGATGCTGAGGAGGCCTCCCTGCTCATCTCCATCATCGACGACTAGACTAGCAGGAGATAGATTTGGCACTTGTTATTTCTGGGTGTAGTTTTACATCGCCCAGCGTGCCCTCTTTCTTGATGCTCATGTTGTAACACATGTTTGCACCTTGATAAGTGTACTGGCCTGTAATCGCATTGACTGAGAACTGGTCCTCCTCGCTTATTATACTTGCTAGTACTCCTTGGAGTGTGAACATGTGGTGGAAAGAAGTGAAATAAGACTTATAATATGGAAAAACCAAGAAAATGAGACTTTTTTTTAGAAAAGGAGGATTACCAAGAAAATGAGATGAGCCTACTAAACCGGAAAGGAAAGGTCAAATAGAGTTCTCTGAAACCATTCAAAACAATGGACAACAGACACAGATACAAGACACATATGTTAAAGCGGCTTCTCTGAAGCAAAGATACAAGATACACCCCTGCTAGTGACGGCACAGATGAAAACAGATGTTTAAATTTGCATTTGAACTACATATTTCCCTTACCGCAGTGATGTCCCCAAAATCGTGTCGTCATGGCATTTGGCAGAGCAAAATCATGGGAGGAAGAAATGCAGCTAGCTACGAGATTGCATAAGTCAAAATGCGTATACCACATGCCATGACATCAAACTGGCTACAGACTGGAGAAACAATATAGCTACTCAGTGCGATGCATTTAGCAGAGCAAAATCATGGGAGGAAGAAATGCAGCTAGCTACGAGATTGCATAAGTCAAAATGCGTATACCACATGCCATGACATCAAACTGGCTACAGACTGGAGAAACAATATAGCTACTCAGTGCGATGGATAGCCGCGAGACGTAAAATTTAGGTCACGCCATCTCTGAGTACATACATGCCAACGACTGAATATTGCAAAATAAACCAAAAGTTGTTCGGCCAATGCTGAATCCTGCTAATGCTTGCTAGAAAGACAGCATCACTCGATTTATAGGATGCAACGTTTCCATCACCGATTCAGTTATATCGCTCCATGAACTTCTCAATCGCCACAGAGAACGCACCAAAACCCACGCACCCGATGCATGTAGCTTGAGGGCCACCTGCAAGGAAAATACCAATTCCATTATGGATGAAATATCAAGTTGAGCTGCATAACCAGCAACAGCATAAGAATTTGCTAGTGGTGCTAGAGTGCTTTGCTAATTGTAATCCACGGTGCTGTTGTCCTCATTATTATGATTTACTGCTTTATAGCTGAATCAAAGGTGACAAAAAAAAAGGTTTCAAAATAAGCAATCACAACTTTGGCTAAGCACTTGAAGAATCAAGGGGTAGACAAGGTAAGTAACTTTGGCTACAGACTGTTGACCTGGCACACCTACTACATGATGAGTATCTCTAAATTCCCAAATACAGACAGACATATAGCATTGGCTAAACTATCTGAAATCTCATATCAGAGAATTTGGGACAAAAACTGCTCGCCTGGCACACTGACTACATGATGAGTACGACTGCCCTTCAACTTGCCCTAGTAGGTTACTTCCTTTCTTACATCCAAAAAGAAATGTCGGCCCATCCACCCCAAGCCAACCTAAAACATCTCTAACGATTGCAGATAGGGAAATTCTCTTGGGAGCATAAATTGATCCATGATAAAAATTAATGTTGGTTCTCATCAACAGTTGTCACAAAAAAAAACATACCTTTTGCAGCTAAAGCTCCTCCTGTGACACAGCCAGCTACTGCTGAATTGGTAATGTCATGCTTTGCCCGAGCCTGCCAGGACATGACGATTCAAAGTGTCCAAATAAGTAAGAAAAAATTACAGAAATGCTCATAAATGGAAGAAGAAAAAAATGTCACACTGCATCTACCTTCTCAACGACACATTCAGCTGCAGAGAAAATCAAGCCCATTACTGCAAAGGTCTTAGCATGGCTCATACTTTTCCTACCCATCTGTTTTGCCTGGTAGACTATTTGTTGCCTTGCTGTCATCTCCTCTGCCATTATTGGATTTTCCAAAGCTCCAAAAAATAGTCCCATAAGTACACCAAGACCACCCCCTATTGAATGAAAGCAATGCAGTTAATAACAGCTGTGCATACTCCATAAGTCCATTTTATGAAACATTATGCACTTGTAAGTGGGCCCCATGTGGGATAAGCCAATAGCTGATAATCTAAGCTGTTTAGCTTGACGCCAAATGATTAACAAGCATAGAAGCACAAGTCATCAGGCAACAACTTAACATGACTTCTAAGTTAGTATAGGACGGAGTATCCAGCCACTGATTGTTGGCTATTGTCTTAAGGATACCAAATGTCAAACTATAGGAAATAGTGATACTTTGGTAATACATACAATAGGGTGCATGGTATCAATATCACTGATTCTATCCTCTAAACCACAAATCATTAAACAGGGCAAAATCAGAAAATAGATACTTTAACATCGCAGGCCTTTGCCATGTTCCAGATTCATGACAATGTCAGCAAGCTGTTGGAAAACTACATAGATTACACAAGTGAAATGTTACTAGTACTCACACGTGAACGCGCGCGCACACACAATGTTATGGCATGCACTTATTTACAGTAACTATATACTGGGGGGAAAATGTTAGGTAGGAGCATGAGATCCAATGTTAAGTTTCTTCATTTGAAGCAGAAACAACAGAAACATGAAATGAATGGATCAGAGCAAACTTTTTTTACGAGACAACTGGAAGAACCAGACACGCTCTGACCGATTTTATTCACTCTGCGAAAACTGTACAATCAAGCATGCAAACAGGGGAAGGCTAAAAGGAAAAAC